GCGGTGGGGACAGAAGTGACACATGTGAGGTGCTTCTCATTCTGCTGGCTACTCTAATGGATATAAATGAAATGTATTCAGACAATAATAGTTTCAGGGATGGTTTCCTTATGCTTGGACAGAAATGGAGAACACCCAGCTTGTGAAGAGTTGCTGCGGTGTGTGTAGGAGGGAGGATGGAAGATGGACCTCGAGGGGCAGGGAAATAAAGGGGCTGCAGCCCTCACTCAAACCAAACTGCATCCTCTGAACGTGACTCTCAAAGATAACTCCGTAGTCTGACTTTCTGACAGGGCCAGGTGTTCACAGAAAATCATTTTTATAGGGATACGTGTTTAACGGCCTCTGATGAAGCTTTACCCAGCCATTAAACATAACTGATTACTCAGGGCTGAGCTATTCCCTCAGCCCGAACGCTCCTTCCCAATAAGCCCGTGATGTCACGTTTTCCACTCTCTTCGTAGCACTTTGTGGATTTCCTGAATATTAAGTGCTGTGGGGAGGGAGCGGGAAGGAGGTGGCTGTGCCCGACTCCCCTCCTCGGGCCCCCGTGGGAAGGGCAGGGCTGCGAGGGCGATGCTCCCGCAGGGCACCAGAGTCCCCGCGCTGTGCGGCGAGGCGGGCGGGCAGAGCCCCGCAGCCCGGGCAGCGCTGTCCTGCCGCTGGGGCGCGGTGGGAGACACGGGGACATTTAATTAGAGTTTTAGAAAACGTGATGTTGGGAAAACGAAGGTTTTGTTTAAAAGTCATTGAGAGCTTTGATACAATGAAAAAAAAAAAAAATCACCCCAGTATTTAATTAATCTGAGCAGCGCTGCGGAGCAGCCCCGCGGCTCCCCGGTCCCCGTCAGCAGCTCGGTATGTGACCGGGCACGGGGCGCCCCGCTCCCGGGAGAGCCGCGACTCCCTGCTCGGCCGCGGGGCTCCGTGCGCTCCGGCGCGGGACCCCTGCGCTGCTCGGGACATCCTCAATATTTTCCCGGCTGGGATATTTCCTGAGGGATCCAGGAGGCGAGGAGTTCGAGTTTTACTGTTTTCCCCGTTACGGTTGTATCAGTCGGGAGAACTGCGGGAATTCAGCAAAACTCTTCTTCTCCTCAAATCGGGGATGAATCAGCGGAGCAAAATTGTTCCCAGCCCAGGGAAGATTTTAGATCACTGGGTGAACTTGTTTGCTTTTTCGCAGCAAAATTTTCACGGGTGGAACTGTCATCCTTCTCTTAGTTACTCAGCCGAAATAAAGACATCAAAATATCTGAAGCGTGAAAGTAAGCCAGAGGAGCCTTTAAAAAACGCAAAACGAAGATCAGAAGAGCCTCGTAATGTGATAAATGCATCGATAGTTTCTGAAACCAGTTAGGAACATTTGTATAAAATTATTTTTTTAAAAAGCTAACTAGAAATAGTCTGTTTCTAACAGTCATATAAAGCACCTTGTGCAAGAAAAAAATCAACAAAACAACCCAACCCTAAACAAAACAAATAAACAAACAAAGCCCAAAGTAACAACAAACGAAGAACTTTTAAAAGCCCCTCGGTAAATGAAAAGCAATTTCATAAATAAAGGTGATTCCATTCTGGTTGCTGGGAGGAAAAAAATTTGGAGTCTGCAGCTTGTTTATGCAGTTGGTCCCTAAAACCCCACGTATTTTGCTGAACTACCACTCTAAGATGCTACTTTTTATAAAAGTGGTTGCATGAATCTGCCGCCAAAATAAATGTGAAATAAAATAACGGGTTTACGTGCTCTGTAAGAGTACAAAAAATCAGACTATTTTCAGATACTACTGCACTAAAAGTAGTAGTAGTAGTAGTAGTAGTAGTAGTAGTAGTAGTAGTAGTAATAATAATAATAATAATAATAATAATAATAATAATAATAATAATAATAATAGATGTTATTTTCACTACAGGATTTATTTTTCAACGATTTTAAATTCCTGACTGTGAGTGCGGCCAGATGGTGAAGTTCACCCTCTCTTTCTTCAGAGCAGCATCGAAATCTTTCAATAAGAGCTTTTTCAGAAATGCTATTTTTTTAATTTTATTTTTTCGGTGACCTTGGGGGCTGTAGGCCTGCTCGCGGGGAGGATGTGGGATCCGCCGATCGTCCATGCTGCAGCTGCTCTCCTGGGCAGCCTCGAGGCAAATGGACCCCAAGGATTATAAACATTTAAATTATCAAAGTTGATGCCGTATGATAAGAAATGATACCGGGTCTGTACCGCTCTGATCCAAAACTGATCCGGGGTGGGGATCGAAGTATTATTATTTACCGTTATTCTTTAGCTTTGATTTATTTTAAAGAAATAAAAAGCTCAAGGGAGGCGTGGGTAATTTCTTTTACGTGCACTATTTGTTTATGAGCGCGCTGGTCTCGGGGGTGAGGTTGTTTAAACAATCCGATGTGGATTTGCCTGCTCGCTTGAATGTGTCCAAACTTCTGCTTACTTTACTCATAATTATTCTCCTCGTTTCATCGTAATAGTTCCAATGGCCGCTTTGGCCTCGGCAGCAGGAAATCAGCACCTTGGCATGGGAACACCTTGTGATCTCAACAGAGCAGATGGACAAAGGACGGGCAGACGGACGGGCCCGTCAGGGAACGGGGAGCATTTGGGGTTGGGATTTTTGGGGTTTTTGGAGGCCCCGGAGGGCAGGTGTTCACAGGGACACGGCTGCCCCGAGATTCCCGGGAGGAATTCGGGAAGGTGAGGGAGGGATGGGGATGCCCAGTCCCGAGGCCGCGCAGCATCTCGGTGGGCTCCTGTCACCGCTGCTCCCCCCCGGGAGGGGAGCGCCGGTCCCGGGCACAGTCCCGCTCTGCCGTGTGTCACCAACTCGTTGGCGGTGCACACACCAAGCTGATGTCTGAATAAATGACAACGCACTAACAGCAGAGAGCACCCGGGCAGCTAACGGGGGTTCAGCCCGTTAGTGTTTCACAGAGCGAGTGGCGTAACTTTAAATTGAAGAAACGTGGTGAAACCAGAACGAATCCGCGCGGAACTGCTCCGTACAAGTCGCAGTAACCATATGGAACAGGTTATGTGGGCAGGCAGTGAAGTACAGAGCATAAATTAATTCGTTGCTGTCGCATGCAGGGGTGAGTATTACAGAGAAACGGCGGCAGGACTCAAATAGCGCTGACAGGAGCAGCAGGGCGGCCTCGTGTTCTCCACAGTTCCCTGAACCCCTCCGCCTTGCCCCTACCTCAATATTTAATTCAAGTTACAGGGCCAGGCACCCGATGGGCCGGGGTTCCTGCAGCGGCATCGGCCGCATGCGGAGCCCCGGGGCTTTCGCTGGCTCTGTGGGGGCCGTGGCTGCGGGCCGGACGGAGACCTACGCGTGGGGCCGGAGGGGACCCCCGAGAAGCGCTGGATCCCGCACGGCTCGGGGGAGCCCGGGGCCGCGGGAAGGCGGTCTGACACTCGAGCCCCGACGGCAGCCGAGCGCTGGGACTCGTCCCCCGCGTGCTGCGCTCACGGACGGCACTCGCGGGTGACTCCCGCGGCCATCGCATCTTGCTTAGAGCTTCCAAAACGGAGCCGGGCGAGATCCCGCGGCTGCTCCGTTCTTCCCTGCGCATCCCCCGCAGCAGTCGGGAAAACGGGCAGAACCCTCTTTTTTTGGTCCAAAATCGTAAAAATGAGGCTGAGCTTCCCTCGCCGGAGGGATGAGCCCCGCTCCCGTCCTTCTGCGTGGGCCGGCCGGGCTGAGCCCGTGGGAGCCTCCTGCGAACGCTGCCCAGGCACGGTTACGCGTGGGCAGCTCGGCCGTGGGCAAAGGCCGTGCGCAGCCAAACTTGCCCCACGCCGTGGGACCCCGGGCCGGGCTGCTGGGACTTCGCCGGAACGATAGCCCTGTAATCCATTAGCGCCGGCATTTTCGGGAAGGATTTGGGTGTTCGGGCTCCCGCAGACGACTCTATCTCGAAGCAAGTCAGTAACGAGCAGGGGCGGGTCGTGGGTCTCTGCTGTCGTGCGTGACACAGCCTAAAGGGAATAGAATGGATCACGTTGTGCCGAGCAAAATCTCCGACTAAACGATCTAAAAGTCATGGGAAACTTTCCACTTCGTGCTGGGTTTTGATCCCTGACCAGATCCTTTTAGGCGTTTACACGTCTTTGACCGAGACCAGGAGGGAGCCTGGAGCTGAGGGCATCGGGCCTGGGCCCCTCCAGGGGCAGTCCCGGCCGTCAGCGCGGCCCCTGCCTGCCCTCGGGCTGCCTGGGCTCCGCCGGCCACCGCGCCGGGCTGCCCTGAGGGCTCCGAGCCGCCCGTGCTGCGGGGCCGGGACGTGCGGGCCGGGCCGAGAGGATGGGCCCCCCGAGGGTCCGTGCGGCTCCGTGTCCGTGTCTGCGTCCATCAGCCGAGGCGCCCCAGACCCGTCGGGGGAAGGGGATGGGGAGGAGGGCTGGGACGGGAATGGGAAAGGGACGGAAGATTGGTGTGGGGACGGGAACGGGGATGGAGATGGATATGGCGACGGCGACGGGGACGGGGATGGGACTGGAGCCGGGGACAGGGATGGTCATAAGGATTAGGCTGGGATCGGGACCAGGGCCGGGGCCGGGACTTCGAAGGGGCCAGCCGTTGTTTGGGTGTCTGCTCTCCCGCAGCGAGCAGATCGGGTAATTTGCTTTATATGGCGGGGGATCAAATGCTGGGCTGTAACCCCGCTGCAGGTACTCGCCCGCCCCGGCCCCTTCCTTCCTCCGCAGCCCCTCCTGCGCCCTCCCCCGCCGCGCTGACGGCCCCGCCGGGGCCGGCCGTATAATAGGCCGCCGCTGCGGCCCCGGGGCGGAGAGAGAGACGCTGCCCGGTGCCGCGCCCCGTGTGCAGGCGGCGGGGACGGCTCCGGGCCGCCGCGCAGGGCCAGGGGAGGGGGCGGCGGGGCGATGGGCAGAGCCCCCGCTGCCCGGCTGCCGGCCGGGGGGCTGCGCTAGGGCGGCCCCGGCGGCCGGGGATCCCCCCGCGCCCCGGGGGCGGCGAGGATGCAGCACCCACTGGAATTGGGCGCCGCGCGCTACTTCCCGGCCGAAGCCTTCCCCGACCACCGCTCCCACCGCTACCGCAGCTTCATGATCGAGGAGATCCTCACCGACCCCCCGGACGCCAAGGGGGCCGCGCCGGCCGGGGAGCTGCTCAAGTTCGGGGTGCAGGCGCTACTCTCGGCCCGGCCTTACCACAACCACCTCGGTACGTCCCGGGGGGCTCCCCGCGGCTGGGGGGCGGCTGGGGGCGGCAGGCGGGGAGGCATTGCCCGCCGATGGTCTCCAGCGCCTTTGGGAGCCGGGCTTCTTGGAGAAAAACTTAGGAATTCTGCCTACAAAAGTTGCTGCGAGGCTCTGCCGGCCGTGCGCATCCCCGCCGGCTCCCGCCGTGCCGCGGGCGCTCCAGCCGGGAGTTTGGGGCCTAAAACCGAAGAAAGCGGCTTTGTGGCTCCAGCTGCCTCTGCACAGAATGGCGTTTGGATTTCAGGGAAGAAGGTTGTTGTCGACAGTTTTGGTTTTGGGTTTTTCCTCGTGTTTTTGGATGAGGAGAGAACCGCTGGAGCCAAGCAGCGGGGTCTGTGCGTGGCTGCGAGGAGCGGCCAGAGGCCCTGCGGTCTTAGCTGGTTTAGCTGGAAACCCGACTTAGGTGTAAACATAAAAATATATAATATACAGAGATATTATATACAGTATATACATATAGGCTATGTTTATATAATAATAATATAGAAGATGGAAGACATAGCATTATTGTCCATATTATAATACATGCTCGGGTTTTTCGATTAAAACGGGTGCCAGCATTCTCTGTCCAGTCGGATATAGCATCTAGGACAAATGCCGTTTATTAACATATTGGAATAGGTTTGGGTTTTTTAAATTTTTTTTTTTTTTATTGTTATTGTTTGGAGGAGTTATTTTGCAGTTTTTTCTTTTTTGTGTTTTGGTTTTTTGAGTTTGTTTGTTTGTTTGTTTGTTTAACGGTAATGTTTAATGCATTTTGAAGGCTATTACTTAATATATTTTAAAGGCCAATATTTAAATGGGTGATGGCGAAAGATTTTATTCCCAAGCCATCTTCAACAGCGGAGCCGTAGCCCTTTATCCATTGACCTGAACAGAAAAGGAGTATCACAGTTTCATTTTCTGCACTTAAGAGAAAAAGAAGAAAGCGTCAAGTCCCTGAGCAAGGGAGCAATATGCGTTAGAATATCTAGAAATTAGTATTATTTTCAGGATTAACTATTCAGAACTGTTAGGAATAACGGATCAGATAAAAGGCTCTTTACGCCCCTCAGGCTCAGTTCCGCAGGGATAGGTGGGAACGGGATCCTGCCGTGTAGGAAGGGAGGCGATTTCAGACAGGCAGAGGAGAAAACCCCGCAGAGACTCCCCTAAAGTCCTTTCCCCGCCGCCGAGGTCTCTCGTGCGTCGCTGGCGGGGAGGCTGGGCCGAGCAGAACCGCAGCCCCCAGCTCACCCGCAGGCCGAGGCCCAGGAGAGGAGCGGGGGCGCCGGGAGGGACCCAGCTGGGCCGGGCCGAGCCAGGCGAGGGATTCGAGCGAGCGGCGCCGGGCCGGGTCGGGGAGAAGCGAATCGAGCCGGCCTAGCGGCAGCCCCAACCCGCTAAACAGCATTCTCAGGGATGGCTCGCTGTCCTCTCCCCGGGCGCCCCTTCATAGGCTGCTCTTCACGGAGTGGGATAGAAATTATCATCAGGTCGTAAATATCTTGAAAACAGCTAGAAGGGGAATCCTGAGACCGTGCCCGGCCCCGCTGGTCGCCGAGTTTAGTCGGGTCCGGCAGCTGTTGGATGACACCAGGGGAACGCTTTTGGGTTGGTTTGAATTATTTTCACTTGTAACCCCCAAGTAACTCCGTGATTAGCATGTGCTGATTGAAGGGTAAAACGTGTCCCTGTACCGCGGAGGTGGCGGAGCCGGGGGGGCTCAGGACCCGCAGTGGTGCCGAGAATGGAGGAGAAGGGGCCAGGGTTCCCTGCAGGCGCTGCTGCCCGGGAAGCCGAGGCACCCTGCAGCCCCGGGGGTCCCTGCGTGCTGCCCGGCGCTGACCGCCGCTCTCTCCCGCAGCGGTGCTGAAGGCGGAGCCGGCCGCCGTGTTTAAGTTCCCGCTGGCTCCCCTGGGCTGCTCGGGGCTGGGCTCGGCGCTGCTGGCCGCCGGCTCGGGGCTGCAGGGCGGCTCCGCCTCGCCGCATCTCCCGCTGGAGCTGCACCTCCGCGGGAAGCTGGAGCCGGGCCCCCCGGAGCCGGGCAAGGCCAAGAAGGGCCGCCGCAGCCGCACCGTCTTCACCGAGCTGCAGCTCATGGGCCTGGAGAAGCGCTTCGAGAAGCAGAAATACCTCTCTACGCCCGACAGGTAGGCGACGGCCGACCTCGGACCCGGGGCGCAACGCCACGGGACGGGGCTCATTTTGCTTGAAAAAGTCGGGAAGCTGCCATCCGAGACGAAAGCTGCCGGCCTGACCTCATCTCTCTCTCGCCCGCAGAATAGACCTGGCCGAATCGCTGGGGCTCAGCCAGCTCCAGGTGAAAACCTGGTACCAGAACAGGCGCATGAAATGGAAGAAAATAGTAAGTGACCTTTATTAACAGTCCTCCCCCTGGTCGCGCCGTGCCTGCGTTCGAGCCCTGCCCTGCGGGCTTCGTCCTTCTGCATATCGGCCCTGGCATATTTAACGATAACGTTAAGGATAATAGTAATGATGACCATGACGGTAATAATAATATGCCCCTGGTCTTTAACACCGTGGCCCTGGTCCAGCATCTCCTGGGCCCCGGCCAGCCCTCCCTCCCGGTCCTGTCCGAGCCCTCCGTTGTACCGCTCGGCCCCCGGGACAGCGGGCGGTGGGCGCAGCCCGAGAGGACCCGCATCGGCAGCTTCGCTCCGGGGAACGGGAGAGAGAGGGGTTGCTGCGCCGCGGGCTGATGGCAGCTCGGTTTTCCCGGGGTGTCCCCTTCCTCCGCCCCCTCCTCGCCTCGCAGGTGTTGCAGGGGGGCGGTCTGGAGTCCCCCACCAAGCCCAAGGGTCGCCCGAAGAAGAACTCGATCCCCAGCAGCGAGCAGCTCTCGGAGCAGGAGCGCGCCCGGGACGCCGAGAAGCCGCCCGAGAGCGTGGGCTCGCCGGCCGAGGTCAGCCAGGAGGAGTGAGGGGGGCCCGCCCCGCCGGCCTGAGAGGATGGAGGGCAGCTCAGACAGTGGCCTCGGGACGTTTGGACGCTTTGGCCGCATCCCGGTCTCTCCCCGCCCCGCCGCCCCTCTCCGCGCCCGCGGAGCAATGCGCTGTGCTGTGCGACGGCCCGAGGGGCCAGCAGGACACTGGAACCCACCATCCACATCTGCTCGCTGTCTAAAACCCTGTGGTGCCCCTAGTTATTCGAAAACTGCATTTTACGATCAGTTTTATTAATGCGAAGATATTTACTTTATTTCAATAAAATATTTTATTATCTATTGCTCTGAGTATCATAATGCTTTGGGGTTGATTTTCTTTTTAAATTTAGGTTTGTTTTTTTTCCCCCCACAGAGGCAGGTTAGAGATTCAAAACCAAGTTCCAGGCAGGTCTACAGAGAAAGTGCAAAGCGCAGCGGGTACCGGGAGGATTCTCCCATCGTTTTCCACGACGGTTCAGCTGCCCGTGGCCGGGAGAGGCCAAGACCCTCGGTCTTCCCTTGGTCAAAATCGGATGCTTTCGGATTTTAAAGATATATTAGTTGGTGACAAAAAGTTAATTAAATTCTGCACTGAGCATGCTGAATGATACTATTAAAAAAAACTCTTCGTGTGCTGCTGCGATGTAGCAGCGAAAATCCTAGTATGAAATCCTGGCACTTTGTTGTTCGGGTGGGGTTTTTAAAATTTTGTTTTATTTTTTCGCTTATTTCCCCCGAGTCTCTTCTTCACGTTTTCCGTTGGGATGTTAAATTACAGAGCATCCACCGAGACATGCAATTACTGCTGTTCTGCTAAGAAAGAAAGAAAAGAAAAGAAAAAAGCAACAGAGCAGGGGAGAACGAGAGGTGGAGAGCGAGGGCCGGGGAGCGGCGGGACAGCCCCGGGCTGAGCCGCTGCTGCGGGGTCGCCTCCCAATTAACGGCGGTAATTAGCGCCCGCGTCTCGGGGCTCATCTGTGCCTCCCTGCCCCGGCGGGGTGCCCTCAGGAGCGGCCGGCGGCGGAGCGGGACCCCCAGTCCCGGAGCAGCGGGTCCGGGAGGCTCCAGCCCGTGCTCAGGGTACGGAGACCGCGGCCCGGTGGGAGCGGAGCACAGAGCATCGCCGGGCTTTAACCACACACCTTCGGCGGAGCCCTCCAGGTGAATCTGCGCTGAACTCATGCCGGTCGTTCCCAGTTTTCCTGTTTCTCTCTCCACGGCTCCGGCCTCGCTGCCTACCAGGGTCCGGCTCGGGAGGTGCCCCGGATCCATCCCGGGTTAAATCAGCCCCCGGGGTGAGCGGTGGAGGACACGGCCGGTGCTGAATAAACAGGAAACAGCCTCGTATTCCTTCACTGAAATGACTTAGATATTTAACCAAGCATTTGGTTGGAAATGTTTTTTTTAACCTGAGCATGAAGATGGATGCTGGGAAGAGGGAAAGTGGCTGCGCGGCTGGCAGAGCCGGGGTTTGCGGGACTCCTCGGCGCAGTCAGGACACGCTGGGCGTGTGGCTTTGTCACTTCCTTGTCACCTCTGGCTGTTGTTTTTGGTGCTTTCAGTGCGCCTGAGAACAGCACCCGGGTTTAATTAAAAGAGAGATTGGCTGGCTTATTAACCCAAATTACCAAGACGACAGGCTGTGTCCGTCACCGGTGTCACACACCGGGCTGGAATAGCGAGGTGCACTTGCGAGAGAATGTTAATTAATATTTTCTTTTCACAGCTGAGCAAATGACGGAGAAGCGATTATATTTTCTCAGATAAATAGATGAATTTTTTTTTTCAGCACACGAAGTATTAAATAGAGTAAATCTTTTTGATTTGTGTTTTTCCCTCGTAGACAGCCGAGAGAGGGTTGGGAATGCTCTGGTGAAGCTGCGGTTCTGCCGAGCCGGGGCCAAGCGGGGCCGGTCCTGCCGGGCGTGCCCGGTGGCCGTGCCGGCCGCAGGACGCAGCCGCCGCCCCTCCGGCCGCGCACGGGTCCCGCCGTCCCGGCGCAGCGCCGGCCGCGCACCCGCGCGGGACACAAAGGTAAACTTTATTCTTGCTGTGCCGCGGCAGGAAAATCTCCCACGGGGCTCGGGCGAACCTTCTCTCGCCTTGGCAGATGCCCAAGAGCCCCGTAGCGCCTGGGGCTGAGCCCGTGCCGCGGCCTGCCCGGCAGGACGGAGCGGGGACAGCCGCGCTCCTCTGCCGGGGAGTGAGGGCACGGGGCGCTGCGGCTATGCTGCCAATGAACACGCGGCGCCTCCGGCTCCCCGCCCAGCCGCCTGCCCAGCGCTTTGGTCACAACTTTAATGACCAATTTCTGCTTCGGGAGGAGCCGGTCACAGCACCGAGACGGTGTGAGCCGGGCTGAGGAGCCCTCCCGCCTCCTCGGCGAAGCTAACGAAACCCAGGTTCCTCTCAGGCACGGAAGAAGCCTGTTAGAATTCTCGGACAATATACCTGACTAATGGGATTTCTTTATTGCTTGGTTTGCTTTGTGTTTTCTTGTAATATGCATATATACGTACACTCACACACATATATTTAGATTATTTTAAACGATTTTATGTATTGCTTTCTGTCAAAATTTAATTTCCCACAGCTTCTTCGGGTCGGCTGCTTGCTGGGCTGGCTGGAGTGGCAGCAGCTGGGAGCCAGCAGAAGGGTCCCAGTGAGGTGAGCTCAAAGGGATGGTGGTCCCTGCCCACGGCAGGGGTGGAATGAGATGATCTCTAATGTCCCTTCCAGCCGAAACCATTCTGAGATTCTCTGATTCTGTTTGAAAAACGAGGGCGTATGCCACCGTCCGTCAGTGACAGCCCTTTCAAATGTGCTCGATAATATTCCAGTGCATTTGAAAGCAGAGCTGGGGCTCCTCTGGACCAGCACCAATAAACCTTGCTGGTCCATAAGTGACCACAAGGAAATCACAGCTGGCCTCACCTGCACGCAGGTTTTGTGCTGATGGATGATTTTGGACAGTGGTACCGGGAGGATTCTCCCATTGTTTTCTTTGTGGATCCTGCAGAGGAAGAGCCCATGTTGTGCATAATTGTTGCACTATGACACGAAATAACTCACGCACTCACACTAAGATTAAAAGAGTAAAAGGAAGTAAGTTTTATTTCTGACTTTGCAATATATAGAATTCCAAAAGTGACAGTGGATTGGAGGAGGAAATTACTACTTCTCTAACCACACTGGTTAAACTAACAATCTATTGATTTTTTTCTTCTTACAAAGAACATAAAATAATCATTATTTACATGAACAGTGCATGAGAACTCCAGTAGAAATATGCAAACATTAGAAGGCATAGAAAAATTTTAAAAGAACTTAAAAAATTTTAAAAGAACAGGGCAACACATGTTTTAATAAACTCTGTTTGTAAGCTAATAAGTCCATATACTCATTTCACTTTTCAATTACCTTTCACAGCTGTGAGGAGCCCGTGTGGTGCTGCTGGGCTGCGATGGGCGATCGATCCCTGCACCCACCATGCCTCAGCAGCGGAGCTGGGTCAGCCCAGGCCCTCCGAGATGCCCAGCAGGAGCCCCGGGGAAGATCTGGATGACTTCGTTCAGGGCTGCAACCTCTCCTCAGAGCCCTGTTTTGCCTGTGGGAATGATCTCACTCGGCAGCACCCCAAAGCAGCTGGAAAAGCTGCGAGGATGATTTGCCAGTGTTGCGTAATACGGGGCCAGTAAATGATATTTGTAGCTAATACACCTGATGGTTATTCTCTGTCTGTGTAAATAAGCTGTATTACCATGCACATTCATTCTGGCAGAAGTGCATCCACACTGGGAAACTCCACATTTTAATTACACCTGTATAGATAGAACAACATGTGTTTTCTCTCAAACAAAGTAGAAGGGTGTAGATTGAAGGCTGGAAAAGTGTGTCCTTCCATGTTTGACTGCTACTCAGGTCACAGGTAATCAGCAAACGTTTTGATGATTTTCTTAACAAAAATCAATTTAAGGTGAGTTTCCAGTTCAAACATCCTAAATTCCTTTTTTATGAAGCATCTCAAAGAGACCTGAAAAAGTTCTGCTTTTTCATCAATGTTAATTTAAATATAGCTTCACTGAGCCAGGGCGTTTGAAGATGGATGCCATGGGTGTTTATTCAGAGGCAGTTCTTGCTCTGCCAGGAGCACACCGGACACCAGGACGGGGCTGTGAGGGGCTGCAGGGGCTGTCCCACTGCGGGGGGCAGCACCTTGCCCTGACTCCCTGCTTCACACCTGCAGGCAAGGGGAAGTCTGCTCTGCCCTTCTGGAAGAAAAAACTCATCCTAGAGCAGTGCTTTGTGGGCACTTCTCACAAAAAACAAAATACCTAAAGCACAGATTTGATGCTGCCTTTTCCCGTCCAGAGGGTGGGAAGTGCAGAGGGGGTGGAGTGGGAATGGGGATGGGAGAGTTCAGTGGGATGAGGAGAGTTTGATGGGGAACGGAGGGGGATGTGGGAGGATTCAAGAGGAAATATGGGAGGCTGTGAGTTGTGGGGGGGATGTGGGATGATGGAGGAATAGGGATGCAGGGGGCTGTGGGACAATGCAAGGGTATGTGGGGGGTTGATATTGAGGGATGTGAAGGATGCAGGGGTGTGGGGGGATGTGCAGCTGGGGGATGAGGAGGCTGGAGGGGAGTGCAGGGAGGATGGAAGGATGGGAAGGGATATATGGGGGCTGGAGGGGTTGTAGGGAACATGGAGCAGGATGTGGGAGGATGCAAGAACATGTGTGTGAGACTGTGGGTTGGGTGGGGGAATATTAAGGGTTATTGTGGGGTTATAAGGGAGAGGGTGCAGAGGGATTTTGTGGGGCATGGAGAGGAGGGGGGGAATCCTGGAGCCTGCACACCCCATGTGCTGATAAAAGACATCACCCAGCACCATGTGTGAGTGCTGAAATGAGGCTGGGGTGGGTCAGGCCTTCTTGGACTTGGGGTGAAAAAGTTAACATCTATCTGTGACTTTTCCTCACCATTTTGGCCCAAA